CAAAGAAAGGTCATACAAAGCTGGGAGATGTCTCATTTTAATCAGAAATGTGCGGGCTACAATCATGCCTCATTAAGAAAGGTTTGGGTTATATTTTAGAGTTTTTGAAAAACTGATTTTCTAGAAAAAAAGGTCTTCGAAGGGCTATGGGGAAGCCCCATGGCCGTATTCGTAATCAGCATGGTCGATAACCTATAACCTACTAGATTCCGAGCAAAAAGAGTTTAATCGAGGGGTTCCCTCGTAAGCCGAATATAGACGTTTTTATTAATAACTGGAAGCTCGAGTTTGTCTCAGAATTTAAATATCTCAAATTTTTATACTGATTAGTAAACTCTCTTTGAATCATACAGCTCTAAAGTGTTTAGAGAATGTAGATAATCCTATGTAAAACTGAAGTGGTTAAAATGTATTAAACAGACTTGACTTCAACGCACATGGTCAGAATAAGTTGATGAGAAGGATGATATTAAGGCTTGAGAGTATTAAAATCGAATTGTCCGTTTAATAAAATGGTGCTCACGAAGTTTTGGTTAACCCCTAGTAAGATTTATGCGCAAAGTGATAATAGTGGCGCTACTGATAACAGCGCGACCTGTCATTACTTTTCGCATAGATCGAATTAAAGATTAACCAAAACTTCGTGAGTACCATTTTATTAAACGGGCAATTCGATTTTAATATTCTTAAGCCTTAATATCATCCTTCTCATCAACTCATTCCGGCTATATAGAATGTACTATATTTATGTATTTTTATCTATTCATTTCTCTTTTTCATTTAGATTTTGTCATTTTTTTCCACTGTTTTCTCGTACTCAACAAGATTTATTCCTATGAAAAATATCGAATTTAGTTTTCGTACTATCTACAGATGCTACTTCGTTTAAGCAAATTATCTTTTATTGTATTAAATGAATCATCTTTTAATATTTATGTTAAAACTTCATCTCATTCGTAGACTATCTAAGGTATAGAAAACGGATCTTCCCTCATCTCTGTTAAGTCTATAATGATTTGTTTCTGTGAGAAAATTAATAAGCCAAATAAATTGCTTAAATTGCGTTAACTTTTTCGTATGAAACGGTCAAAGAAAATGATAAGTAATCATGTATCTTCAATCGGTAAATCATACATACGAAAAGAGTAAAAAACTAGACAAGTATTCTTATATTTAAGTAGTTAATTTTAGCTTGGCTTGTGTTTGTATATTCATACTCTATACGTGCATAATATATTAAAATTATTGAACTGTTTTATTTCATATTAATATCATGATATATATAATTATTTTTATTTTTTTATAAATACTCATGAATTTAATACGAAAGACTACATAATTCAAAAACTATTAGCTCAATTTACTGATATATTTATATTATTTTTAGATTTGTCTTTATAATTAGAAATAGTAAAAAATAAAAAAAAAAACGAAAAGAAAAATTGATTATAAACACTGCGCTTTTTATGTTATTAAAAAAACAAAATGAACGTATAGAATAACGTGATGTGTGATACTTACATACTCCATTTTGTAAATTATTGATATTTTTTATTCTTGGATAGATCATTGTTGATGAAAAAAAGATAAATGTTGGCACAGCCCATGTAATAATAATCATAATATTAATTTTTTTTGATGTTCTCCATTTTCTATATTTTGCTGGCATTTTTACTGAACAAAATCGATCAATAGTAATAAATAATACCGTATAAATTGATGTTAAACAAACAGTATAATCTAACGATAACCATATATCACAAATTGTTTCATTTAATGGCCATCGTCCATTATAAATATATAATGTTAAAAATGGCATAGATAAAAGACCAATAAGAAAATCACTAACTGATAATGATAAAATAAAATAATTTGTAGGTTGACGTATTTGTCTATCTAAGAAAAATGCTAACATTACTAATATATTTCCTAGAACAGTTAATACCGATGTAATACTGCCAACAGCAGCAATAAGTACAAGTAATGGAAATGAATAATAGGGTTCGGGTAAATTACTAGTTATATTTGCTAATAATGTACTGGTCGTAATTGTTACAGGTAACGTTGATATTGAATTAATAAATCGATTATGATTTGAAGTATGATGATATGAATGTGAAGTTGTATTTAATAAAATAGATTTAATTAAACCGGGACCAACAATACCACCATCCAATGTTTCGTTTGATATTAACGAAACGACAACGTCGCGAGGCAAATCGAAATGATAAGGCATATCAGGAGGCCATCTATATAGCCACCCCTCACTAAATTCTCACATAAACATCATTAAATATAATCTAAAACAAACATTTAATACTTTATTTTATTTTAACAATTTCTCTCTGCCAGAAATCTATTTTCGACAAGAAAAAAGAAAAAACATGGAAGCTTGACGAAAATTTCACAGAATGTTAATTATTCTCAGATTATATTAGATTATGATAAACATTTAAGCTTGAAAACTTGAATTTTACTCAGAGTTATCACAAAAATAGTGACATGATACAAGACTCAATTTGATCTTAACGACTAAAAGACTTGTGGCTATGACTTAAGGGCCCCCCCCTCAGAAATTATCTTTGACACCGTACATTCGATCTTGACGAAACTTTCCATAAATGTTCGGCACAATGAGTTACGGGAATGAAAAAATTTTTTTTGTCTCCAAGTCTTACGGTTTAGGAGTTTTCCAGAGAT